CTCATAGGGAGTGGCACTATTGGCTTTGTTGGAGGAAGTATGTCACTGGGGGAGAGGGCTTTGAGGTCTCATTTATGCTCAAGCCACGCCCAATGTCTCAGACCACTTCCTGTTGCCTGTGAGTCAAAATATAAGAACTCTCAGATCCTTCTCTAGCACCACATCTACCTGCATGCTGCCTTGCTTCCCGCCATGCCAATAATTGACTAAACCTCTGAACTGTGAGTGAACCACCACAATTAAATGTTTTCCTTTATAAGAGTTGCCATGGTCATGGTGTCTCTTCACAGCAATAGAAACCCTAACTAAGACAGAATTTGATACCAGGAACTGGGGTTTTGCTGTGATAGGCCAGACCATGTTTTTGTTTGGAATAACATGGACTTCGGGAATTTGGGTTAGGAAAGCAGTGGAATGCTTTAAGCACTGCTTAATGGGCCATACTAGTAGGAGCATGGAAGACAGTGGTGCTAAGAGTGATTTGAACTGTGGGGGCCTGACTCAAGACATTTTAGAGGAGAAATATACTAATATATGGCCTAGAGATCATTCTTGTGATATTTTGGTGACGAAAGTGACTGCCTTTTACCCTTGGCTGAAGAGTCTGCCTGAGGCTAAAGTGAAGAGTTTTGGATTAATTCGGTTGGCAGAGGAAATCTCAAAACAGCCTAGTATAGACTCTGTCATGTGGTTATTAGTGGTAACGCTAATGAATATTTATAATGAAAGGAGCAAGCTGAGCAAGATAAATTACAAAATGTAAAATTTGAGGAGAAGAGGAGCACCAGAAAGTGGAATGGAGCTAAATTCTATGTTTAAGGAGGTAAACAGATTAAGAAATGGAATATAGGGAGTGGTGACCTCAGGAAAAGATCCTAGCCAGCTAAGTTTCCAACTTGTGAAAAGGAATTAAAGAAAAGCTTAGAGCTGGGTGTGGTGGTGCATGTCTTTAATCCCAGGACTCCAGGGACTGGTGGATCTCTGAATTTGAGGCCAGCCTGGTCTCCGGAGCAAGTTCCAGAACAGGGAGGCTTAGGCAGTGTGGAAACTATTGAAAACAGAAAGTTGGTGAAGATGTAATTGAATGAGGGGCCATTTTCCAGCCCTAGTAAACAGCAGAACTTGGCAGCTTTGGCCATGTGGTTCTGGAGTTAAGAAGAAAAGGGGCTATGGATTTTGCTTCTGAGACTAAGGAAAGCCACTGAGACCAGGCAAGTATCAGGGATGTCCCTGAATGAAGGCCATTGCATGAAGTTGTGAAGGTGAAGCCTGGATTGCCTTGGAGATCCCAAGATGCTGGAGATACCAAAATCATGGGATATCTGCTGAGGAGAGCTGCTATTAGGGAATGGAACCAGCCCAAGGGAGAGAAGTATGTTTCAGTCAACAAAGCTGAAGGGAGTTGGAGATCTGAAGACTGACATCTTCATGGAGAAGTTCTGACATCCAACATGGAGATGCTGAGTTTGGAGTTTGCCCAGCTGGTTTTTGTCTTGCTTTGGTCCAATATTTCCTTCCCTGCATTTTGGAATGGTAATGTATATTCTGTGCCATTATATGTAGGAAGTATGTGACTTTTAAAAAAATATTTTATAGGGGATTACCATTAAGGGATTACATGAATCTCAGAAGAGACTTCAAACTTGGGACTTTTAAACATTGTTGAGACTGTGATAGATTATGGGGACTTTAGAAGTTGGACTAAATGCATTTTGCATCATGATATTGTTACAAGCTTATGGGGGCCAGGGAGTAGAATGTGATAGTTTGAATGTAATTGGCTCCCATAAGCTCATAGGGAGTGGCATATTAGGAGATGTGGCTTTATTGGAGTAGGTATGGCCTTGTTGAAGGAAGTGTGTCACTGTGGAGGTGGACTTTGAGGTCTTATATATGCTCGAGCACACCCAGTGTTTCAGACCACTTCCTGTTGCCTGCAAGTCAAGATGTAGGACTCTCAGCTATGTCTCCAGCACCATGCCTGCCTGCCCGCCACCATGTTTCCTGCCATGATGATAATGGACTGAACCTCTGAAACTGTAAACTAGCCCAATTAAATGTTTTCATTTATAAAAGTTGCTGTGGTCATGGTGTCTCTTCACAGCAATAGAAACCCTAACTAAGACACTGGGTGTGGGCTTTGTTTTGGGGTCTCTCTCTGCCTCTATCTTGCAGATCAGATGTAAGTTCTCAGCCACTTCTCCAGCATTATGCCTGCCTGCCTGCTGCCCCTCTTTGAGCCATGATAACCATGGACTCACCCTCTGTAACTTTGAGCTAGTCCCCAACTAAATACTTTATTTTGAGTTTCCTTGGTCATGATGTCTCCTCACAGCAAAGAACAGTAACTAAGACACCCTCTCTCATGCGCTGTGTCCCCAGAACATCAGTTACTCTCAGATTCTGAAGTTCCCCACCACCCAGGGGGGTTTAGTTTGTCTGTCTGTTCTAAGGTGATGATGCTCAGTCACGGGGATCACCAGCCAGGAATGGAGCAGCTACTTCTCTTGCCAGCAGGTGGCAACATTGCCTTTTCTAGTTTTCTTTTCCTCACCTCAGGACCAGGTGGTCTGGCTGAACCTCAGGGTGGGTGGTGGCTCAAGTCTGTAATCCTAGCACTTGGGAGGCTGAGGCCAGGAGATCTGCAGAAGTACAAGGCCGACTTGGCTACTACATAGTGAACTCCAGGTTGGCCTGGGCTGAAGAATGAGATGCTGTCTCAAAAAAGAAGAGGAGGAGGAGAAGGAGAAGGAGAAAGAGGAGGAGGAGGAGGAGGAGGAGGAGGAGGAGGAGGGGAAGGGGAAGGGGAAGGGGAAGGGGAAGAAGAAGAAGAAGAAGAAGAAGAAGAAGAAGAAGAAGAAGAAGAAGAAGAAGAAGAAGAAGAAGAAGAAGAAGCCACCAGTGGTGGTGGTAGTACACGCCTTTAATCCCAGCAGAGGCAGAGGCAGGCGAATCTCTGAGTTCGAGGCCCGCCTGGTCTACAGAGCAAGTTCCAGGACAGCCAGGACTACATGGAGAAAACTTGTATCAAAAAACAAACAATCAAACAAAAGACAAGGGGCACTGGGAAGTGGGCCAAGATGTAAATACAGTAAGTATCTATAATTTTATTTTAAAACAAAAACAAACAAACAAACAAAAAAAAAAAAACAAGACAATTCAGTGCTCAGGAAGCAAAGGTAGGTAGATCTTTATGAGTTCAAGGCCAGTCTGGTCTATATAGCAAGTTCCAAGCTAGCTGGGGCCTGCTACAACAAACAAAAAACTCAAAGGCAAAATAAACAAGAAATACACAACAAACAGAATATACACTGTTGTCACCTGCTGCCAAATATCAGGGAAGTGTTTCTTTTTCTCACGGAAGTTTCATTTCCTAAATTCACTCCTATGTCTTCAATTTTTAGTTATTAGTCGTAGTAGTATATGTAGTGTGTATGTGTGTGTGTAATGTGTATGTAGTATGTGTTCAGTGTGTGTGTGTAGTGTATATGTACTGTGTGTGTGTGTGTGTGTGTGTGTGTGTGTGTGTGTGTGTGTGTGTGGTGTGTGGTGTGTGTGCGAGTGTGTGTGTATGCACACAGCCCTGAGTGTGTCCTGGAGTGCATTAGAAATATGAGGAGTTTTCAGAGGTCCGTTGTTTCCTTCCATCAAGGATTAAGTACAGATCATCAGCTTGGCACAAACACCTTTATCCACCTCGCCACCTCACTGTCCCTGTGCTGAGGAGGGAACGGAGCGAAGTCAGGGTCCTCTTGGGGATAACAGTGCAGCTTTTGGCCCCACCACACACCCCTCAAAGGAGGGGAAGGGTGGCAGGTCCCTGTGAACACCTTCCTTTCTGTAAGGGAGGGCCCTTCTGAAGGGCCTGGCTCTGCAGCTGGGCTTTGGAATGAGAGGAGGCTAGGCCGGTTTTCAGGGCTGTGCTTCTGTGTTTCTGCGGAAAGACTGGAGCCTGGACTTGTCATCCTCCCCTTGAAGAAGAGGCTAAGTCTCCAGTCACTCTGCCTTGTAGGTCAGAACAACCTGAGTCTTTTCTGCACTTCTTGGGTTGGAAGAGTCTTCTGTCTAGTCCTAAAGTGTCTCTCGGCTGCTGCTTCTGTCACTGCCCCCACTTTACCCGTGACAAAGTGGAAGCTTTAGGCCACTCCAAAATTAAGTCATCAGAGTATGATACGAATCCGGGTCTTTCTACCTCCTGATTTTCATTGTCCGCCACTAACTGCACCCTGTGGCTATTGAGCCTTTGAGTTTGGAGCCAAACACCATATTTTGAAATTTTCTCCTCCACTGACTTGTGACAACTCTGTTCTACGTTGCAGACTTGGGGAGGGGTCAAAGGAGAGGATTACTTGGGCCCCTGCTCCAACCAACACTGCCCTTCTTGGGGATTCCTTGATGAGATGGCTTTTAGAGCTGAGAGAACAGCCAAGACTGGGGATGTGTGTGGATGTTGCTCACCTTCACCTCTCACTGGGTGGGAGGAAACATCCATCATCTAGTTGGTTTGTCAGTGAAATGGAGCTTTATCACAGTGATTTAGATATTTGCTAACTGAAAGCCCTACGTGAGGATAACAGGTTACAGCTTCCAATGTAAAGATCTAAGAAGACTCTGCAAGGAAATCAGTATCCTGCAAGACTGGGCAGGAAAAGACCAGAAACTTTAAACCTGTATCCACGACCAATGCCAAGCTCGGTCCTCTTGTCTACCCCCAGGCCCTCTGCTCCCCATTACACCGTGAACACTGTAAACCCAGGGCAGAGCAAAGACTCCAGTGTCTTCAATGTAGCATCTGCTTCAGACAAATGCTCAGTCTTTAGCACAGTGTGGACCACACACTGAAGGTTCAGAGCCAATGGAGAAATGGACAAGTTCATGAAGAGATGTCAGTACTTAGAGGAGGGTCAGCCCACGTCTCCCGCCCCAGGGCTCCTATCTGGGCTCCTCATGCTTTCTCCTCCCCACCCTTCCCTTTTCACAGTAGAGCAGGACACCAGAGGTACCAAAAAGGCAAACTGGACTTTATTATAAAGTTGGCTACAAAGTCACCGCAGCACCACGAGGTGGCCACCTGGGCAAGCCCAGGCAGTCTGGCGGCCGGGTGAGTCCCGCACCAGGTACACGCACTCGTGCAAGCACACGTGTGACGGCAGGTCTGCCTTCCTCCATCGGAAAGGAATGTAGCGTCTCTTCGCGCCCCCCACCCCAGGCGCGGGGCGCAAAAGTCACAGGAAGGGCCGCCAGGGCGGCAGAGTCCGTCGGAATTGAAATCCCGTTACTGCTTTGTAGAGAATTCTACGTGGGTGTCAAGAGCCCCTCAGGGCACAGGCTAGCCCCAGGTGGGCCATGCCTTTCCCCCACCAAAACCCAGAGGTGGCTTGGCCCCTAGGAGTGGAGAACTGGCCCAGGCCCGTGGGGCAGCGCGGTGGGGAAGTGAGACTCCCCCAGTCTCCGCTTGAAATCCATTCAAGGAAAGCTCACTACGAGTGAATACAGATTGAAATGGAAACTGGGATCGCTCGAAGTCCCTTGATTTTAAAAAGTTGCTCCCCTCCCTTACCCTCCCCCCTCCCCCCTAAATCCTTCAGGGCCTGGAGAATCAGATATATCCCCCTCTGGCCCCCAGAATCCCCCCAACAGTCCCGGGGGGGTGGAGAGCGGCTCCACGTCTTGATGACAATATGCCATACTTGACGACGTTAAGTCACAGACTTATTCAAAACGTTGGTTCCCCTCCACTTCCATCTGCAGGAGAGAGAGAAAGAAGAGAGAGAGAGAGAGAGAGAGAGAGAGAGAGAGAGAGAGAGAGAGAGAGAGAGAGAGAGAGAGAGAGAGAGGTCAGTTAAGCCTATTAGGAAAAAGGGTCCTTGGGCTCAGGCTGTGGTACAATGTGGATATATAACATGGGCTTCAAATGTGCTGGCGAGTAGGAAATGATCCTGAGAGTCAGCAGCCAGGGGGCAATGTGGACAAATGGAAGGGAACTGTGGCTGCAGCTTTAGACAGACAGCACAGGGCCACTGGGATGGAGCTACCAACTTCTACCGACTGTTGCTCTGCATCCCGCTTAGGGGAAGCATCAACTTCCATCCATTTTTGTATGACTTAAGAAAAGTTTCTTAACTCTGGGGCCTGGATTATTTTCATCTATAAAAGAGGGGTGGTGACTGGTCTAGGTCCCTCACAAACTTTCAAGCTTTTGCCACTGTCCATCACTTTATCCCATATCACCTCCCCTGCCCACCAGCTTTACTAATCTATCACACAAAGTCTGACGTTGTTCTTACCCTCACTACCTTCCTCTACCAATAGATGATATTGTCCTCTTAATAAAACAGAGGTTCAGAGAGTGGAACTGATTTACCTAATCTACCCAACATCTGATTGGAAGGACAGGGAAAGGAGCTCTTGGACATTACGCTGGACTCACCTTCATGGAAGCTGTCTTGAACTTGGCTCTGGAGTTGATGCAACTCATCAGCAAACCCTTCGTAGGGGAATGTTGAGACACCTGTCTCAAAGGCGGTTTCATAGGTGGCCAAGTCCTCCAGGAAGCTGTGATCTTCTGGGGACAGGTTGTTGCAAGGTGACAGGGCCCCTCCTGGGACCTCTGCCTCAGGATCCCCTGAACCCCATTCCCCATTGGGGTCTGGAGTAGAGAGGTCCATGAAGATGTCTTCCACTGGCGTCTCTTCCAGGAATAAATGATCAGGGTCAACCAGGAAGTCCAGCTCCTGGCATTTCCAGGGCTTCAGATCTAGGCTAAGCACAGGGGGTCCAGCCCCTGACAGGGACAAGTTGGGGTTCAGGGGCTCCAGTCCTCCAAGTGGCTCCAGCCCCCCGGTGCCAGCCTCAGCTGAAAAGGGCCTGTCCATGCCCTGAGCCAATTGACTGATCTGCTGGATGAGACGATCTATCTCATTTTGCTCTTTCTCAGAGTATTGGAAAAAACTTTGCTTGACTGGAGAGGCCTCAGGTGTGAGCAGGCCTTCAGGCACCAGGGGAACATCCACAGACAGGGGGCCCCGGAGCTGAGCTAGGGCCAGGAGTGTGCAGTCCCCATTACCAGGGCTGCTAGGACTTGGGGGCAACTTCTCATAGAGAAAACTGCATCCCTCCTGGGCGAAGTAAGTCTTGGTAGGATTGGGGCTCAGTTGCTCTGGGAAGGTTTGGCTGGGACTGTTTAGGTGTGCTTGGAATGCTGTGCTGGGAGGAGTCAGCTGCTCATGGGCAGGGCTACCCAGAGGTTCTGGGAATGTGGCAGTGCTAGGAAGCAGCTGGTCTGGGAAGGTAGAGGTGCATGGAGTCAATTGGTCTTCATAGCTTCTGGCTGAGGTTTCAGTCAACTGTCCTTGTAGTGAACTGGTCAGTGGGTCTGGGAAAGTTGCACTGCTGGGCGTCAATTGATCAGAGAATGTCACGGTGCTTGGAGTCAGCTGCTCTTGGAGAGAGCTGGATGGAGTGGGCAAGTGAGTCTGGAATGGTTCATGGAGGCTGAAGAGGAAGGCACAGCCTCCTGGCTGGTGGGGTGTGTAAGGTGGAGTACACACCAAATCCTTGCTCAGGTCTGCTTGGAGAGAAGGCTCAGGCCTAGAAGGGAACGGCAGGTAACTGAAGTCCAGCTCTTTGGGGGGTTGGGGAAGCTCTTCTGATGTTGAGATCACACCTAGTTCAGGTGCCCTGGGGAAGGTGGTGCTTCTGGGACGCCCCAGGGCTGGCACAAAGAGTGGGTTAGGACACTGCTCCTGGGAGAAGACATTCTCGGGGAACGAGGGTAGCACAGCTGGGGTTCCCAGGACACAGGCTGCCTGGGTGTGTTCAGAGTTGAGCTGCTGGCGGAGGGTCCAGGCTTCCGCGTCACTGGAGAGGAGAGAAGCGGTGGCTTGTGAGGCGCTGCTGTCCTGTTTTCAGAGTCCCTGTCCCAGTAGCATTCTCTCCACGCTGACCTCAGCTCCTCCTCCCCCCTCCACTGTCCTGCACCTTACAGCTTACCTGATAGGGTAGTTATTGGCAGTAATAGGGCCTTCTGGACCTTCTGAGTACAGCATGCAGTAAATCCATGCCCAGCCTCCATGCTTGGCTTGAAGTCTCACGACCATTTCTGCCTGAATATCTCCACTTTCAGCCACTGGGGAGAAAGAGAGATACAGGGTTAGCAAGTCCATCAGGCGACACCACCTACAACCCACCTTTCTCACCTCTACACTGGACTGAGGGAGTCGTGAATTTTCTCTTCTGACTACCCTAACCTGTATCTCTAGGCTCCCCACCTTGACCTTACCACTCAGTGTTTCTTAGCTCTGTCCTATATTGCCTTGACTTCTCACCCCAAAGTTGACTATAGCCTCCAAAACTGCTGGACTCAGTGTCTCCTCAACATCAGTGTGGACCAAGCCCATTCCTGGTCTATCTCCCATGCCTTCTGCCAGCTTCCTGTGTTATCCACAGCCTCTCAGGACACTCACACAGGCGGTAGTGTTGAGAAGAAGCGTGGGCCAGGTCCTCAGGGTGTAGCAGTCCATACCATGATTTACAGAGCAGTTCGCTGCGCTCAAAGCCCAGGTAGATTAGAACACTGGGAAGGTGGAAAGGGTGAGGTCAGCTTTCTGTTTTCCTTACTTCACACATGCACTTCACTCCCTCCCAGGTTCTCTGCCCACTTAAGCCCCATCCTCCCTGTCCTGGATCTAAGGTCAAGAGTCTAAGGTGCCCTTCTTTCTGGCCTGCCTTTCATACTGGAGTTTGAATACTCTGGGCTTACCTTTCAGAGATGTCCAGTAGGGCTAGGTCCTTAGCATGCCGGCTCTGAAACATGGCCAGGAAGAGTGAAGCAGGACCAGGGCCAGGGCCAGGGCCAGGGCCAGGGCGGGGTCTTGGCTCCAGCGGGGCACAGAAAGCTGTGAACACCGGGTTTCCTGCCCAGTAGGCCCCAGGTGGGTGAGCATGGAATCGACCTCGAATAAGCACCAGTTTGTTGCCTGCACTCTGGCGCCGGAGGGACTTGGAAGTGTTGAATCGGCAACGGAAAAGGCGATCTAGGTGAACAAAAAGAAAAACTGACTAAGAGAGTGGGCACCAGAGGAGAAGTAGATGGTTGGAGCAGGGAAGCAGAGGAGCGCACTGAAGAATGGGGAAGCTCTTACCAGCCTCCAGAGCAGAGGGCATGGAGAGCTGCTGGCGAACAGTCAGATGGTCAGCAGGGTCAATGATGTCGTAGATACTGTCACCCTGGGCAACCAGGTCCACCTAGAAGAATGAAAGGAGAGGTGATCATTAGTGAAGGCAGCAGGAGCCAGCCTGTGACCAACAGCTTTTCTCAGGGCAGACTCCCCCCCACACCTCCAGTGTCTCAGTAGTGGAAAGCTCATTTATCCCACATATGCCACAACCTAAGATGCAAAGACTTTCAGTACTCACCATAGAGTGGCCTAGATGCTCGCTCACACTCTCAGATAGGTACAGCAACTTCCCCTCAGCTGTGAACACAAGCAGAAATCCAGGTAGTGCTGCCACGATGTCTTCAAGCTCTTGAGCTGAGAGAAGCCCCGTGGGGCCAGCCAGAGGAGTACCTGTAGGGTGAGAGGTTGTGGTGTCAGGATAAGACTCAGGTACACAACAAATGAGGAGAGCATCATCTGAGTCTCAGAGCAGACACAGGAAATTCTCACAGACCTAGCTCTGAAAACACCTGTTGACCCTATGCTTGTGGATTTTGGCCAGAAAACCTGTTGCTAGAACAATCTAGCCCGGAAGCCCTCAGACTTCCAAACCCTGCGGGAACCTCAGCAGCCCTGAGTTGTCAGCACTGTGGACAGAGCTCTCCCGGAGGGATTGGAATTCAGCACCGCGGACAGCACTCTTTGCAAAAAGACGGCTGCTTTAAGCACCGCGGACAGCAGCATGTAAGCGAGCTGGTTTCAGAACCTCGGACAGCGCCCCATTGAGCGTGGAAAGACCCTCTAAGCATTTCCTAGCACATGCTGCTCTTGCCCAGACTTTGCCTTTGCAGGCTTTCCCTGCAGCTTGCCAGGCTTCCTTCCGTCCACTCCCCGGATTCCTGGAATGCCTCTGAGGCAATGGGAACCTGGACCATTCTGTTTTAGCTCTCCATCTCCCACAAATCTGGTGCTAGGACCATCGTTCAGGCTAGTCTAGACCGAACTCAGGAGAAAAAGTAGCAAGTCCCGAGTCCCCTCAAGTCCCTTCTCTCCACAGTCTTCCAGAACGCTATCCTAGACAAGCGGCAGTTTCAGCGCGTTCCCTCAGCTCCTCCATCCCTGGTCCCTGTCAGCTCTGGTCTCCGGTAGCCCAAGCTTGCTCACCTCCAGCAAAGAAGACACCCTTGCGAGTGTAGATGCAGGCAAGACTCATAATATGCAGGTAGGACAGCCGGACCTTGTCCGCTTCAGCCAACGGCAGCAGTTCCTTGAGGTTCCGAATCTCGGCGTTGATCTGGTCGCGGCGCGCCTTGGAGGCGCCCTTGGTGGATCGGTACATGACTGCCGGCTGTGGAGCTCCAGCTCCGGCTCCCGAGCACCTGCGATCCTGTTCCGATGCACCGGAGGCTTCCTCTTGCTTGCTTCTCAGTCTTTCGCTCAGGCTCTCGCTCGCTCCCGCTCCACTCCTGGGCTCCGCTCGGCAGCGCTGCCCCCCTCGCCTGCCTCGATCCGCCTTATATAGCTCCTGGCAGGCGTGGGGGGCTCGTTTTAGAGACGGAGGGGGGAGCGGGAGGCGGGAGGCTGGGCTAAAGCAAGCTGCAGCGGGAGCCACTGGCTGGGGAGGGGGGGCGCTCCTCCTCCCTCCCTGGCTTCCTACGTCATCTTGTGACGTGGAACAGGAGAGGGAGGGGGCGGGGGAGGGGGGGGAGAAGGAGGCTGCGGAGGGGGCTGGCTGGCGAGAGCTGTGCAGAGCCAGGCGTGGAGTGCAGGGACCCAGGTTTCCCATTGTATTCTATTGAGAGGGGGAACAGTGCACGGGTTAGGGTGGGCTGAAGCCCTTGGCAGGAGAGTTTGCAAAAGGCCTAGGACCGGCTGGGACCAACACTGATTTTTCTAAGGAGGCAAAGGATAGGAAGGGGAAGGGACCTCTGCGAATTTGCCTCTATTTGCCGGGCAAAGGTCAAAGTCACATGAGGAACTTTCCTTAGGTTTGGGGAAGGGGGTAGGTCACAACCGGAGGTCTTTGCTGGGGTCTATTCAATCTGAAAATCCCTTAGCCACTTTCAAATAAATAATTCCTTCCTCCCCTCCAAGCCCTGGCCTGAGGGTCTAAATCTCTAGGATGGAATGGTATTCCTGTGGGGAAGAGACCAGCTGAATTCGGCCTTGAGCATGTATCCAGGGCAGCATAGGGACACAAACATCACCTCTGTGGTCCTCGTTCCTCTATTAGTTACCCTTAGTCACCTGTGGGGGAAACTGAGGCAAGGACCCAGGGCCTAGTAAGGATCTGGATCTACATTTAGGCCTCCCTGCACCCTCTCCCGCTTGCCAGCCCCCAAGAAGAGCTGCTCCCCCGCCCTCTTGCGAGCCCCAGTCTCTCCGGCGGGCTGGGGGCGGGGGCGGGGCTGGGGGAATCCCAGCTCCATATTAGGACAGGAATCCTCCGGCGGCTGCGGCGGCGGCGGCGGCAGCGGGCGGGGCCAACCGGCCTCCGCACTGCTCCGGAGAGCTCCCCCCACCGCTTCGGCGAGGAAGAGGGGGAGGCAGCTAAGAAGCCAGGGTCTGCTGAGCCTCCGTGACTGCTGCACCTACCCAAGACCCTTTAATTCTGCCAGGCTCCCCTTCCCATCTTCCTTCAATTCTTGCTCCATTTTTAGCTCCAAGGCTCCTCGTTCTGCCTTTCTACTCTCCACTGTGTGTGTGTGTGTTTGTGTGCGTATTTGTGTGTGTGTTTCCTTTTTTTTTTTTCTTCCTCCACTGAATGTTGGGAATTTGTGGACCCCTAAACCCCTGAAAACTGCACCTTTGGTTTAATTATCTATTTTGGTCCGGCTTACCCCCATAGGGTGGCCTTTGCGTCACACTGCCCCTCTCTCTAGTCACTATATATGATTGCTCTCTACGGAGGGGATGGGTGCCCTTTTTTATCCCACAACCTCATAAAAGGAGAAAGCGATGGTCTATGGAAACTTTTTGCCTGAAATCTCACTTAGAGTAGGAATGTGTAAAAACACTTTTAGGGCTGGAAAACAAACAAACAAACAAAAAACAAACAAGACTATTTAAAAAGCTAGGGGATAGGGATAGCCCTGGCTGTAGAAAGTCACAGAGGTAGAAATGAACTTTGACACCAAAGAGAAAAGTTTGTGGTCAAGAAAACCCCCATTCTTCATGGAAAGGGGTGGTCGCAAGAGAAGCAATGTGGAGGAGGAGAAGGGGTGCTGGAAGGGAGTGCGTTCAGGAATGGGACTATGACTTAGTAGTAGAGCACGCTTTTAGCATGCTCAAGGCTTGAGTTCAATCCCTAGAGATGCCAAAGGTGAGAGGTGGGTGGGTGGGGAGACGGGGGAGAAAGAAGAGGTACATGGTTGTAGAGACCCTTTCCTGGTGGTTTGTGCCATTTTGGTAGAGATCGAAAGCATCTACTTAAATCATCACGTGGCAAGTGGATTTCTTTGTTTCTTAGAGCTGAGGATGGAACCGGGGCTTTGCGCATGCTGGACAAGCATTCTATCACTGAGGCTCATCCCTAGCCTGTCTTCCTCACAGACAGATGCTTTAAGCCTTGGCTAGCAGACATTCTTGGTATCTCCTCCATAAGTTGTGTCTCTCTGCTGGGTCCTGCTGGTTTCCCAAGCAGTTTGAGCAGCCCTGGGAAAACACCGGGATGGTGGCCACTGTCCATGGTGCTGAATATTGCCTTGCCAATCAGATTGGCCATGGCCTGCCTGTTACATCAAGGGATGAACGAGGGTGACAGGATGCAGCTGCCATCCTTTTCCCTGAGAATGTATATGGGCTATTTACAGGGGTGGGGGTCAAAACTTCTGGGATGTAGGAAATAGTTGATCTAGGAAAGAGAATTAGGCTTAAGGAAGGACTCCTTGTTTTTTTCCACAAGAATGGACTAGGGATAAGGAACTTCGGAAGGGGAGAAGGGTCTAGAAAGGAACACGGGAGGGGGTAGAGGAGAGATCACCCTAGTTTGACTACTCTGATTCAAGTTGAGAAGCTCTGTGTGCCCCCAATGTCTCCTCTCCCTAGGCCAGCTCCCACTCTTCTTGCCTCCCACCTCCACGAAACTATTTTTAACTGTGCAGAACCAAAAATAGCCTGGCAGCAGCTTCAGGCCGTGGGAGAAGAGCTATTTATATCACCAGTGACGGTTCTGAAATAGCAGGCAGGAGGAGGGGGGTGGCTGGCACGCTAGAGAGCTCCTGGCCGCTGCTAAAAATACTGTCAGTATGAGTCATCCTGGCCTGGCTGAGTCACCCCACTCTCTCCCCCTAAGCGGCAGGCGGCGGCAGCAGCAGCAGCAGCAGAACAGAATTGGAAGCCTGAGATGGGGGAGGCATCACAGCCTTTTGTTATGGGAAAGTGGGCAAGGAGTGAGTTGAGAGAGGGGCTTTGGGGGTCTGTGTGTGTGTGTGTGTGTGTGTGTGTGTGTGTGTGTGTGTGTACACTTGGCTGAAGCTGTGTTGCATGTTCTGTGTCTGCATCCAAGCCTGTCTGTCTGGACATACTTGTCTATCTGCATCCATGTATCTGTTTGCATGTGTTTTGTAGCTGGGCTCTGCATCCTTGTGTGTCTATACATTTGCCAGTACCTGCATCTGTGGTTTTGATCTGTCTGTGTTTTTCTAAGTCTCTACCTTCCTGTGTTGCATGTGGTTTTGTATTTTGTGCTTACATACATTTATTTTATAGCTCTCTGTGTGTTTGTGTCCATATCTGAGCCTGCCTTGGATCTCTCGCACAGCATTGGACGGTTTGTATGGATCAAATGCTTCCCGAGACCCGGTGCTCCGTCCCTTGCCCACTCTGATACCATTTGCTGGTTGTTTTTTTGCACCATCTGTCCTTTGCTCACCCCTCTCCACCAAGCATCTTTCTTTCTAACTCTTAGCCTCTAATCATTTGCAAAGTCCTCTCTGCTGCATGCAGTCTCTGCAGTGGAGAAAAACAACCTCGCAGGAACACTCCCCTTTCTCTGGAACCATCCCGAATCTTCTCTGGCCTGCAGGAGTGAGTGGTTTTCCATCACTCCATATTTGGGGAGCTGAGAGAAGGGCTTTCTTTAGTTCTAAAAAAAATTGCTGGTGTGGGCATAGGCATGTGTAGCACGCACATACACACAGACACACACACACACAACTGAGAGAATGAGAGAGAGAAAAATATCAAGGTCCCTTCTTTACTGAGCAGAGCTCGCATCTGTTGCCATGGAAACCCACCCACTCCTTCCCCGAAAAATCACCAAGAAGAGGTGATGGCATCGAGAAGGGATTGGCTGATTCCTTTCTTTATTTTTTCCGAAAAAGGCCTTTTTATAGCAAGAACAGGCCATGAGATCCCTTGCTCCTGTCTTGCATAGCTTTATTGGGGCTCTAGAGGGACATCGCCCCTCAACCCCTATTAGAGAAGAAGTGATGTATCTTTTTCAGAGATTTTCCAGGAGGAAGACCTCCTCAGGAGTTGGAAGGTGGGTGGAGGATTTGATTCTTCAGAATATCATGGAGACTCCTGGCTGCTTTTTCTCAAAAATTGGAACAAGGATGTTGACAGAGGACTGTCAGTGTACATGTGGTGTTTGTCTGCACCAATATGTCTATGAGGAAGGGAAGGAGAGAGGAAAGGAAAGAGAGGAAGAGGAAGGTGGGAGAGCATGAACCACTTGCTAGGGCTTTAGAGATGAAAAGTGGCTGAAGGATGTGGCACTCAGAGGTCATCTGAGCAGACAGGACAAGATGACAACTTCAACTTTACGATGCAATGAATGGGGCTGCAAGTTCCCACCTGACCACAGCTGTGGCGGCTCCATGGAGGCTCCAGGAAAGCTGGGACCAGAGCTGGCTAGGAGAACACAGACGCTTACTGTTCCTGACTCTAGTGCCAGCCCGACTCTCAAAGGCCTCCTGCAAAGCCTGGCCACCAGCCACTGCAGCCATGTTGGTCCCTCAAGTGAACTCTAGCACCCTGCCAAATGGCTGGATGGTGGAGAGGAAGAGAGATTCCTTGTTTCCGCCTGTGCTTGAATTGCTCCAGAAACGGGGTCATTGAGGACTGTAGGTTGGGAAGACAGACCAAGAATCTGACTCTATTGAAAGATGCATCTCCATCCTAGAAGGCTACTATCACCCTTAGCGAGCAAGGATGTGGCCTGTGTGGTGACTTAGCACCATTGAAAGTGATGAAGTAAGGGGACCGAGGGACTTGCTTTGATCTCTTAGACACTTTTTTTTTCATTTATTTATTTATCATGGTGGGGACACACATGTGTCATGGTGTGCATGTGTGGAGGTCAGAGGATAAGTTGCAGGAGTCAGTTTACACTCCATCACAGGGTCCTGGGCAGGGATGAAACCCAAGTCACCAGGCCTGCCAGGAAGTGCCTTAACCTTCCGAGCCATTCTATCAGCCCCTCTTAGGCATTTTCTCAGGACTAATATGGTTGGTATTCTTCTGTTCATTATATAGTTGGTGAAATTACGATCAGAAATGGACAATGGCTTAGTCATACAGCAAGGTGCAGGCAATGCTATGCTTTAAGCCTAACTTGCTCACAGAAACTTGTTCTCTTACCACATTGAACAAAAGTGGGACCTATATACTATGACCCCAAATAAAATCTGGTCCACTGTTTCTTTTTACAAATGAAATTTTACTGGGACAGATTCAAACCCATTAGTTGACTTATGGCTGATGCCTGTCTTCACACAGCCACAGAGTTAGGTAAACGCAGAAGGGACCAGGGACCACCAAGCCAAAATGTCTACTGCCTGACCCTTGATAGAGAAGGCTTGACATCCTTAGAGCAGAGGGCAAAGAAACAGCCCCCTACCCCAACCCCCCCATCACTTTGTCTCTTTCTGGAAAGCTCTCTGGTCTCAGAACAAACCAAGCTGTCACTTCATCTCTCTCTTTACTCTCTCTTTACTTTTCTAAGGGAGAAGAACTTGGGAAGCCACTACTAATGTCTAGCCCTCTTCGTAACCATGAATGTACAGTCTCCCCCAAGCAGAAGTGATTCTGCATACCTGTTCCCACGACAGCATGAACTCCAGTTGGCAGTGAAGAGTGAGGTTAGCCCAGTCCACCCCCAGTCTCTCTGGGACTACATTTTGGGAAGATGAGTTATCCCATATTGGAAGTGAAGTTATTACAAGAAGACCAATTTTTCTTACAGGAAAAAAATGAGCATAGTATGAGATACCAGGCCTCCTGATGTCTCTAATCTGACTCAATGGAAGAATATACACCTTCCCAGAGAGGGTGGGCAACTTGCTCAGGGTCACACAGCCAGAATGAGATGAACTCAGAATTAAAATCCATGTTTCTCAGCTTCCACATTCTTTGTTTTCTTTTTAAAAATCTAGATTTTCTTATTATGTTGTTCTTTTGAATTGGTGGACTTGCAGTCCCTTAACTGTTTTCCAGGAGGTTCTCTGGCAGTCCTCAATCCACTTATGCAATGGAAAGCTAGCCCTCAGGTAGTGCTGGCTTGTGCAGCATCGAGCTGCTCCTCTATGGGCTGTTTCCCTTCTCCTTCCCATTGTGAGATCACTCCCTCAATCCCACTTACTCATGGAAGCACTCAGAATGTTTTATTATTTATGATTATGAAATCAACAAATCTCATGTGAAGAGGGTACACGCTGGCACCCACGCATGGGAACGGTCAGAGCCAGGGCAGTGGGCTTGGCAGGGGTGAGGGACAAGGAAGGATGGAGTGGGTAGGAGGGGGAGACTAGAACCTGGATGGGGAAAATGAAGATATCTTGGTAAGGCTTGAGGACAGGGCTGATAGAGGGGCCTGCTCCAAGGAGGGGAGAAAAATTAATTCACAGGACACACTTTAAAAATTCAGACCAGGGACCCCATTGCCTCAGTGGCATGAAGACAGAAGTGGAGGGCATGACCCCTGACCTCTAGATCTGTGGGCCTGGAGGAGGAGGGACCCTCACACATTCATGCCTGTGATCTTCCTCAGCAGGTGAACTCTTCCCTGCCCCGATGATCTTCTAGGGGTGACTAGCACATCCCTTCTGCCCTCACAGTCACACCTGGGCCTCTTCCTTATTTCACTTTTAAAAAATTGGAGACAGGGTCTCAGGGATCCTAGCCTAACCTCAAATTCATTACATAGTGGAGGATGACCTTGAACTTCCTGTCCTCCTGCCTCTACCTCCCCAGTGCTGGAGTTACAGGCATGCCCCTGTCTCGAGGCTGCATTTGTCAGTCTTAATTATCATGCTTGTTCCTTGTTTACTACCCCAGCCCCTGCCACCATGTTGCCAGCATCCACCACAGGCCTGGGCAGGAATCAGGGACTAAGCGGGTGGAGGTGATGCTCACTACATACACCTCAGGGATGAATCGGGGCCAGCCTCTGTGGTGGATGCTGGCAATGGGGGAGACATAAGCCTGGCTTTAACATCGTGGAGCCTCCACACTGGTTAGAAGACAATGCCAGCAAGCCGTCTGAATGAGAGACTGCCACGAAAGAAGCATCTGGGGTACTGGGAGAAGAAACGAACGGGAAGACCAAGCCCAGGGAGCTGGCAGTGGGCTCCCTAGGGAGGTGTGTTTGAGCTGTGTTGCTGGGAGTCAAGTGGCCAACTGACTGACTTGGTTGTGCTGGGTGGGTGGGGTAGGGTGGAATGAACTGGAGCATGGTCCTAAGGCTTTATAAGGTGTGGTGGGTCCTGGTGGTAGAAGCTAACAGGTGCATTAATTAGGTGGACACAAGGCAGCACTGTGTTCCTGTAATAGCTGTCCCCCCCCCCCCCCCCCCCCCCCGCCCCAACACACACACACTTTAACCAACAGATTTGGCTGCAGGAGCTGTGCTGGGAATGGACCTGAGATGAGGTGGCCAAAGCTCAGGCTTTAACCACCAGGGCCATCAGGAAGTGTGAGGAGCAACCCAGACCTCCTCCCAGACTGTTCTGCAGTGACCTTTCCCCTCCCCTGCCTGTGCCCCACCCCTTCTAGCCACAGGCAGCTTCTGTCGTCCTGTTCTCTGCAGCCCTGTGAACATACAGCTCCTCGCCTCTCCCTGCACCTGGTTATCATCTTCCTCAATATCTTGGCTCAAATGTCACTCCAGAAAATCTTCCGTATCAGGTCAGATCTCCAGCTACAGGTTCCCTGGTATCCTGAGCTTCTCTTACCAGCTGTGACAGTGGCAGTTCTGGACTTGGTTCTGCTGAGGAGTTGGTCACTGTCTTCCCTGGCCTCGGCTGGAGCCCCCTGGGTAGGCTCCAGTCGAGGTATGTATAATTACATATACATACATACACATGTATGTATGTATATGTAATTATATCTCTCTCTATATATCTATATATATATATGATGGGAAGAATGGAGATATTTTTCTTGGTAAAGAGAAGGCTGAAAGGAGGTGGCTTGTCATATTCGGAATGGAAGGGCCATTAAGAGGGGATTGAGGGGCCAGTAAGATGGCTCATGGGGGGCCAGTAAGATGGCTCATCAGGTAATGGTGCTTGCTGCCAATCCTGACAACCTGCGTTCAATCCCCAGGACTGACATGTGGTAAGAAAAACTGACTCCCACAAGTTGTCCGCTGATCTCCACACAGAGACCATGGTGCACACCTACCCACACACATGCACACAATATAAACTAAAATGATAAAAAGAGGGATTTGAATATACAGGATCTTCACATAGAGCTGAAGACAGTCAAGGCAGGGGAGGCAAGAGGGTGGGGCCTGGAGGGAGGACCGGACTGAGTCTTGCCTCCATTACAGACTGTGACAATGGTCAGTTAAGGGACTTACCATTTCATGCCTCAATATTAAACTGAGATGTGAGGATAATAAAACTTGTGTTAAGGCCTTGATGCAAGACTTAGGTGAGACAGAGACAGGCGGATCTCTGAGTTCGAGGTCAGCCTGGTCTACAGAGTGAGTGAGTTCCAGGACAGTCAAAGCTACACAGAGAAACCCTGTCTCAAAACAAAACAAAACAAAAACAAATAAACAGAAAAGAGCTAGGTGAACTGATTTGTCAAGCACTCAGAACAAGGCCAGAGGCATGGAAGGAACAGAGTAAGTGTTGGATATGGAATGGGAGTGGCCATTATCTTAAGGAAAATATAATTTTGAATAAGACCATAGAGAAGCGGCTTGGTTGAGTTCATGGCCCTGTGTGTTTCCTGCATCCTTGGTCTATGAGTACTAGATGGAGGCAGCCACAGTCCAGGCTGAAACATCTCCAAAGAGAGGGATAAAGGTATCAGTGGAGTCCTGGGAAACTGAGGGATACACACCAAGTGACCCTGAGAATTTGGATTCAGACCCCTTCCTTGTATCAATAGGCATCCTCACATCCTCAAGTGCAGAAAGGAGCATCCAGGCCAGTACCAATGTATTCTCTTCAGGAGTCAACAATTGAAATCCTTGGCTGTCTTTCTAGAGGCCAACCTGACCATGTTCTTACCCATCTTTAATCCCAGCTCCTGTTTCCCACACCCCAAAGCTCCCTGTGACTATCCTCTCCTTGCTCTCTCTTCTACCCAGGTTTGCAGGCTACTGCAGACCCAGATTTATGCTTGTCTCTAATATCACCTGAGTGTCCCCAGGGACATGGAGTTTACAGGTGCAGCAGATACCCAATGCCTTATGTATCTGGTGTGGGGATCCGCTCATTAGAACCCCTGGAGCAGATGTGATGTGTGGGCTGATCACTCCCAATGGCCCTGGGCACACAGAGGAGGCATTTTCAGAGAGCAGCCCAAGAGAGGCCAGGAAAGACAGAGGGATTTAAAACTCAGAGATGATCAACAGGCCTGGGCCAGAGGCAGAAAGAAAACCCTAGAGGCAACCAAGAAGAGACTCCAAGTGCAGAGAGCTGGGGACATGCCCACTCCTGCAAATGTTGCAACCACAGTTGGCTGAACCATAGCAAGAAGCAGAGAAGCAGCCGTTCTGGCCTGTTGCTGGAGAAGCTTCTGGAACTAGGAAAGGATGAGCACTGTGTGGGTGAGGAGGGGACACCAGGAAGCTGCGGAGGAAAGGACCATCTGGCGAAGGGGAAAGCTCCTGAATGGCCCAGCCCTGGCTGAGGATTCCTCTGCCAAGGATTCAGAGATCTGAGATGAAGAGGAAGTGAGCTCAGGTTGGTGCCAGCAGATTGTGTTTAAGGCAGAGGAAGAGTCCCAGGCAGGAGGATCAGGAGACACGGATTCTAGCCCTAACTGCCACCAGCCCACTGGGGGTACCATGCAAGTCCCTTCTCCTTCCTGGGCCTCCCTTTCCCTACTTGCAAAGTGAAAGACCAGCAGAACACTTGGCCTTAAAGGCTCATCCTCCCCTATCGGCTTCCTGAGTGTCTCTGTATCCAGGTCCCACCTGGCCCAGCACCTCTCAGGCTCTGGAATCTGAATACTGCAAAGCTGAAACCCAGTTTCAGGGGGGGATGAGCCCATGTGCCCAATGCTAGGGTCTGAGAGAGCCTGAAGTCTCCAGGGGACCATGTTTCTCAGCTCTGGGATCCCTGAACACCAAGCCTGTATGGACTTGGGGAATTAAGTACTTCCTAAGGCTGTAGCTCAGTGGAAAGCAAGCGGGTTCACTGGCTTTTCCCTCTGTAGCTCCAACCCAGCCAGGGCCATTCTTACAGGTCCGTACCTACTTCATCAGGGGACTCACCATTGGAGTAGTCTGATGGGATCCAAAATGCACAGAACAGACCCCTGCTTATCCTGAGTGGTCTGCACAGCCTGCGCCTGAAGTAACTACTGTCTGCAGCTTCCTGAACTCCAGTCTTGTGGAAGGAAGAAGATCCTCTCAGCATGGTCCCCCAGGCAGCCATGGATGGACCCCACAGTCTAGCCCAAACACCCACTTTCAGAGAATCTCGGAGGCCCAGTTGAAGAGGGAACTCCTTGGAGGCCATCTCTCTTGGGTAGCTGAAGGTTACTGCAGAATGAAGTCACTCAAAGGACCACGGCCACAGCTGGAGATGGCAGATCCTGAAACATGCCTTTGGCTCACACAGCGCAGTGACCTTGTGTGCCATTCAAAGGCTGGCCTTTGGGGTCAGGAGGCAGTGTTCTGGGTCCTAATCTCAGCAACAAATATACTGCCTTGCCTTGTGACCTTGGCAAATGACGGCTTTCTGAAGACTGCCTCAGTTTCCCCCTTTGTGCACTGGGTACCCCCTTGGAAGCACCCTTCAAGGCTCCAGGGATAGGCGCTATACACAAAACCGCAAATGCTGATCTAGATCAGATCCACTCTGGCTCCCCAACCCTGGTCCAGAATGGAGACCTGTCTGGAAATTGTACATCTCCTCAAGAATGGCCAAGTACATCATGCTGTCCTCTGTCAGGTGTCATCAGGACTGGGCAGAGGGTCCAAGGGGCTGGGTCCACATGGCTCTGGGGAGTCCTGCCAGTGTCCAGCAGGCCACATTTCCATCCAGAAGCCAAGTGACACTTGCAGGCAGTCTAGGAGAGGTTTGACTCCAGAATGTTCCAGAGAGCTGGTGGGCTGCAAGAAGCTTTCAATGGAAGCAGACATTTATAAGTAGCAACCTGGTCATGGAGTCCATGGGATCCAGAAGTTTGTCCAGAAAGGCCATTGGTCCAGAAAACCCACCTAAGATCTGCATGTTGCTGGGGAAGAAAAGACAGTTGGTTCGGAGGCGGAGCTGCCTGGCCCTTGGCTGGGTGCAGGGCAAGGGAGAAAGGAACACAATGTATCGGTAGTCTCCAGCGTTAAGGAACAGGAGGATCTCCCGGGGCCAGGAAGCCAGGCTCCCTGGTCTCGGGCCTATGTTCCTCCAGGAACTAGCCATGTGACTCTAGCCAATCACTATTCTTCTCTGTGCCTCAGTTTCCCTTTCAGTTTAATGAGAGGGCTGAGTTTTCCTGGGATCCCAGTCTACTTCAGACTGAGGCCCAGGAATAAAAGGCTTAATCAGGGGCTGAAAGGAGGCCCGAGGGCCGTGAGGTCCTCACCTGGAGTTGTCCCTCTTGTGGCCTTGTCCGTAGGATCTCCAAGCACGGATAGGCCTGGCATCTTGTTTCCTTCCAAGGTTTCTATAAGACAGTCTCCCCTCTTGGGGGCGGGGGACGAGGGGTTAAGGGCAAGACCTCCTCTCTCCAAGGTTAAAATGTCCCCACAAAGGTGGAGGGCATTAGGATGGGGATGGGGTGGGGCGATGGCTCCGGGGGGCTTCCAAGGCCGGCCAGGACTCCGCCGCTCAGGGGCGGGGGCAGCTCCTGAGCTCTGGCGAAGCCGCCAACTCTGCCAGTTGCCTTAAAAAGGCGCCAGCGCGCGCGCATCAGCAGCAGGGCTGCGGCTCTCTTCCAAAATAGGCAAGAACTGGGAGGCCGCGAGAGATGAGCTGCGAGGAGTGCAGACGTCACGCAGGGCCTCCCTCCTCCCGGCCACCCCCCTCCGTCTGCATCACGTTGCCATGGCAACGGAGTGCCGCGGTAGCCGATGAATGAGCTTCAGCGAGCCGAGGAGCCCACAGAGACGCGCGCTCCCTCCGCGTGTCAGGTAACAGGGCTGCAGAGTGAAGGGATGCAGACACCGCCAGAAGGAAAGAGTGCCAGGGCCCACTCACACCCCACTGATCTTACTGTGTCCCAGAGGCCCAGGGGCTATTGGGTCTAAGCATCTCTGACCCTGTGGTTCAGGGCTCCTCTGTCCCCAGGGCTCCCTTGTCCCTCATTCAGTTAATTCTCAGGTCCCCGAACGCTGCGGAAAACCTGACAGCCTGTGCCGCAGCGCCACTGCGTGGCGGTTCACGACGCTGAGGCAATGGTTTGTGGCTGGCGTTCCCTCCGTCTATGTCGCCCTCTGGCGTTTGCGCGAGAGTACTGAGTAATTCAATGAAGGAAGCTTTGAGAGGATCACAGGCAACATCAGGTAACACGATGGTAAACGCCTTTCCGTTCTGCTTCCTTTCATTCTCAAATCATCTCTCTAACGTAGATTACTACTGCTGTTACCATTTTAGAGGGCACCGAAATAGAGGCTGAGAGAGCGGGCAACTTTGCCCAAGAATTTACAGCATCAAGGGGCGGTGGTGTCTCCAGAACTCATCACAGCATAAAAAAGTGCCTGTAATTTGACATGTACAGTCTCTTGACCAGCCTCACATTATCCTGGGATAAGCAAGATGAAACTCCTTAAAATTATTTCCATCTCACAGATAAGATTGACTGGGGGAGTGAAATGGCTTGCTGGAGAGGATGGAGCTCTGGTCTCTAGACTAGATTTCAGAATTTGGGAGACAAGGAAGCTGGATGAAGTCCACCACTCCTGTGAGACCTTACCCTTTAGGAGAGAGAGTGAGGCGTTCCTGTAGGACCCCTTCACTAATAAACACATGGCCCTGGTCAGAAGAGGGATGGAGAACACTGTCTCTTCGCTCCTTCCATGGAGAGCTATAATTCTGTGTGTACCACACGCCGTATTTCCATGTTGTTTACCTACAGGACTACCTGCTGCTTCTCCTGAACCCTCTACAGGGCCCCTCCCTCCATCTGATGTTTTGAAAAGACCTGACCAGTTACCAGTGGGTAACTACTCCAGGGTCTCCACTTCCTTACTGTTCCTGCAGAGACACCAACTCTATGCAGGTCTTTGGATGTCGGCAGCTTATTCTTGTATTTGGGGCATCGTGGTATCTATTCACTATTACCAGTTTTGTTGTAAACTTTAGCCATGTGGTTCGGGTCTTTATTATCTAGTTATGTTTTGTTTTGTTTTTGGTTTTTCGAGACAGGGTTTCTCTGTGTAGTTTTGCGCCTTTCCTGGAACTCACTTTGTAGACCAGGCTGGCCTCGAACTCACAGAGATCCGCCTGGCTCTGCTTCCCGAGTGCTGGGATTAAAGGCGTTCGCCACCACCGCCCGGCTATCTAGTTATGTTTTAAAGTGAGATTTCATAGAGACTCAAAACTTGTGATTGCCTTGGTGCTTTTTTCTCCATTTTTTGTGTGTTTGTTTGTGACAGGGTCTCTCTACATAGCTCGGGTTGTTTTGGAACTCTTTATGTAGACCAGGCTGGCCTCGAACTCACAGCGATTCACCTGCCTCTGCCTCCTGGGTGCTAGGATTAATGATGTGTGCCACCATGCCCAGCTTTTCCATTGTTTTTTAAATGTTTTATTTTTAAAAGATGTATTTATATGCCGGGCGGTGGTGGCGCACGCCTTTAATCCCAGCACTCGGGAGGCAGAGGCAGGCGGATCTCTGTGAGTTCGAGGCCAGCCTGGTCTCCAAAGCGAGTACCAGGAAAGACGCAAAGCTACACAGAGAAACCCTGTCTCGAAAAACCAAAAAAAAAAAAAAAAAAAAAAAAAAAAAAAAAAAAGATGTATTTATTTTTATTGTATATGTATGAATGTTTGCCTGTATGTATGGGCGCTATGCATGAACAGTACACATGGAGACCAGAAGAGGGCATCAGATGGAATTGTAGTTACAGTTGAGAGCTGTCATGGGGGTGCTGAGAACAGAATCCAGGTCCTCTGAAAGAGCAGCAAGTGCTCTCAACCACTGAGCAATCCTTCCGGCCCTTCCCCACTGTGTTATTTTTAACTCATGCACTCAGGGTTGGCCAGGTTCTGATTCAAACCATTGAAGGGAACCCAAGGGGCAGGCTGTCATCACTAATGGAACTTGCCAGGCAGACCCTGGACTTCAGGTGATGTCAGAAGTCATCTGACCTCATCTAAGGGAACACACCAATGAAGTGAACTCGTTTTTTTTTTTTTTTTCAGCCTTGGTGCCCTGCTTTGTTTCCTTTTTCTTTCTTAATAGGATTTTAATTCACCAATTCTGAAAGGCTGTGAATGTGTGACCAGGTGGCCTCTCCTGGACACTTTCCTACCATTTCCTTTGACCGATTTCTCCCGCCCCAGGCATCTTCTGGCCCCGAATACAATTTCTCTTATAAGGGTTGCGGTTACAGTTGCCCTTCTAGCTCCTCTCTGCCTGCTGCAACTGGGGTCTTCCGGGACATTCCCAGCTTTGAGATGGGTACACGGACACTGCGGTTTGGTATCAGTTGGTAAGCATCACCCTTGAGCTGTAATGGTCAAGTGTAATTAATTTTCCACCGACATCCCATCTCTGCTGCAGAGGCTCCCAGTTGGCTCCACATCCAGGTTTTTAGTGTGGCCTCTGTGGTTTTTAGTGTGGCCTCTGTGGTTTTTAGTGTGGCCTCTGTGGTTTTTAGTGTGGCCTCTGTGGTTTTTAGTGTGGCCTCTGTGGTTTTTAGTGTGGCCTCTGTGGTTTTTAGTGTGGCCTCTGTGGTTTTTAGTGTGGCCTCTGTGGTTTTTAGTGTGGCCTCTGGTTTTTAGTGTGGCCTCTGTGGTTTTTAGTGTGGCCTCTGTGGTTTTCAGTGTGACGTCATTGCTCTGATGGAACACCAGATAGGAACTACTTCAAAGAGGAAGTATTCTCTGGTCCATGACTCAGAGGTTACAGTCTGTCCTAGTTAACTTTGTCAAATTGACACAGCCAACAGTCATCTGAGAGGAGAGGCTTGATTGAGGAATTGCCAACTGGCCTGTCAGGGGCATGTCTGTGAGGAATTGCCAACTGGCCTGTCAGGGGCATGTCTGTGAGGAATTGCCAACTGGCCTGTCAGGGGCATGTCTGTGAGGAATTGCCAACTGGCCTGTCAGGGGCATGTCTGTGAGGAATTGCCGACTGGCCTGTCAGGGGCATGTCTCTGGGGGATTGTCTACATTGTTAATTGGTGCAGGGGCCCAGCCCACTGTGAGTAGCACCATCTCCAGGTAGGTGGTCCTGGGTTGTATAAGAAAGCTAGCCCAACATGAGCCCTGGAGCAAGCCAGCAAACAATGTTCCCCCATGGCTTCTGCAATAAGTTCCTACTTTGAGTTCCTGCCCTGACTTCCTCAATGACGGACTGTGAGTGTGGAAGTGTAGGCTGAAATAAACCCGTTCTTCCCCTAAATTGCTTTTGGTCTGAGTATTTTGTCACAACAGAAAGGAAACTAGAACCCAGTCCATGGCAGGGAAGGGATGTTGGTGGTGGCAGCTCATGGCTGTGGTTACAGTGTATTATCAGTCAGGAACCCTAGAGTTTGGGCTGGAACCAGAGTCACACTACAACCCAAAAGGCCATTAGCACTGACTTCTTCCAGTGTGGTGATATTTTATCTGTGCACCCAAATAAAGTTTATCTGAGGACCAGAGGAAAAAGCCAGCCACTGTAGCAAACATCAAAGTCAGGCAATGGTAGCACATGCCTTTAATCCCATCACTCAGAAGGCAGAGATCTATCTGTCTGGATCTCTGTGAGTTCAAAGCCACACCGAGAACAGAGCCAGGCATGGTGGTAAACCCAGTACTAACCATAAAGGTCTAGAGGTCTGTACAGACAGACAGGAAGTGACAGAGCTGGGTAGGAAAAGGAAGTAATGTAGCTGGGCAGAGAGGAAGTGAGATGCAGAACAGAAAGGCATATAGGCGTGGGTATACAGAGATCCAGAAGTAGGTCTCTTTGGCGGAGGATCTCCAAGTGGTAAGAACGTGGCTGGCTTCTTTCTGCTTTTCTGATCTCTCAGCTTTTTACCCCAATATCTGGCTCTGGGTTTTTATTAATAAGACCGTTTAGCAATTCATCTTACATTCCAGGTAGACCCCTTCTCCTAAAGGTTTCACAATCTCCCACAAACTGGAGATCAAGAGTTCAAATACTTGAGTCTGATGTGGGGGAGGGCCATCTTACATCCAAACCATATCACAAGGGTATGTGACTGCGTAGTTCTAGTTTCTACCAGAAGGGCCTGGGCTAAGCATTGTCAATGTGAGCCATGTCTAGTAAGTTCTTACAATCCAACCCTTTTGAGCCAACCTGTTGCAGACTACTGATTAGAGACAATGTTTCCACACTATGCCAACAGTCAGTTAGCCAATCTCTGTGGCACTGGGCCATTCAGATATGTTAGTTATTGAGGTTTTGTATCAGTTAGCTGTGGCTTTGTAACAGGTTTCCCTCCACCAATACTGTAGCTTAAAATTCCATACATTTTTTTTTTTTTTTTTGGTTTTTCGAGACAGGGTTTCTCTGTGTAGCTTTGCGCCTTTCCTGGAACTCGCTTTGGAGACCAGGCTGGCCTCGAACTCACAGAGATCCACCTGGCTCTGCCTCCCAAGTGCTGGGATTAAAGGCGTGCGCCACCACCGCCCGGCATTTTTTTATTACACACAAGTCTGTAAATTAGCTAGGATATTCTTCTAGTCTT